TTAGGCGTGAGTCGAGTTCTAGGTAAACAGGGGAAATCAATCGACGAAGTCGTGAAGTTACAAAGACTGAGATGGTTAGGACATGTGTTACGTATGCCAAGTCATCGCCTCCCTCGACGAGCAATGTTAGCGGATATAGGGTCAGTCTGGAAAAAGCTAGCGGCGGTCAAACAAAAACTTGGCCTCATCAGTCAATGAAATCCACAACAGTTGGTCTAAGCCACGTAGAAAGGTGTGGACTTCCAGGCTGGGGTCCTCGGGACGGTAAAAATCTATGGTTAGAAACAATTGGTGACATGGCTCAAACTCATCGTTCTCAGTGGCTAGCGCAGATGCATCCACTCCTTGTGACTTATGATCTTCAATGAAACTGTTTTGTATTTCTTTATTACTCCTTTGTCTCACACCTCTGCTCACTGTTTCTATTATGCTTTTCTTGTACTTTCTTCTCTTGCTTCGCGTGCTACACGGAGTGTGGCGACTTGAACTTCCGCACATTTGTGCAAAGTTCTATGTCGAAAACAGACAGACAGACCACTAGACAAGCTGCATCTATATAAGCTACACACCTCTTGCTCTTTTCCAGTCTAGTCTATCTATCTCTGTCTCCTGTGTGAAGTGATATAATAAGGTGAGCAATATTGAGGTTAGGCGTTGAGTGTTAGTTAAGGAGGGAAATCAATCGACGAGGCTGTGAAGTTACACCGATTGAGATGGTCAGGACATGTGTTACATATGCCTAGTCATCGCCTTCCTCGACTGACGGGCAATGTTAGCTGACATAGGGTCAGGATGGAAAGCAGTTAGCGGCGGTCAAACCAAAACATGGCCTGACCAGTCAATGAAATCTACAACAGTTAATCTAAGCCACGTAGGAAGGTGTAGACTTCCCGGTTGGGGTCCTCGGGACGCTGAAAACCAATGCAGGCTGTAGACAATCGGTGATATGGCTCAAAATCGTTCTCAATGGCTGACACAGTTAGATGCATCTACTCCTTGTGACTTATAATTTCCAATGAAACTGTTTTGTTCTTCGTTATTACTATTCCTTTGTCTCACACCTCTGTTTACTGTCTCTATTCTGCATTTCTTCTACTATCTTTTCTTGCTTTGTGTGCTACATGGAGGAGAGAGTGTGGCGACTTGAACTGCCGCACATATGTGCGAAGTTTTATATCGAAAACAGACAGACAGACAGATACACAGTTATTGCTACTGATGAGTAGCTATCAGCATAGGCAACTTTGTCTGCTCAACCCGCCCCTCCTAAGAATTCCAATACTTTCAAACTATTTTATTCACCATAAATGCTACAAGAAAAATTTGCAATCCTTGAAAGTGATTACGTCGAAATTATTTGCTTTTTTCCCCGAGAACTTTAAAAGAAATTTACTGCTTATTTCATCATCAGTGAGAACGAAACCTTGAAGTCATTTATTCAGTTAAATATGTTATTAATTAAAATGAATCAATGAATTGGTTCAAGGACATGGTGTGCACACCAACAGAAGCCTATCCAACAAGCAACTGCTGAGAGTGTTATCAGTATCTCTTCTCTCTTCGTTCCATACTTATCATCAGATAGGCAACTAGAAAGGATAGACGATATAGTACTTTGTCAGCCAACCAACTAACCAACCAAACACCTGTGCCCCCCTCCATCCGCCTTACACATACACTAAGACAACTTTTGAGTGACGTCACGCACCAGGAACAATAAGTGAGGCGTACATGCATGCAGCAGGAAGTTTAGGCAGTCTGGTATACAGCAGTCTTTGCTTTCTTCTCAGTTTGTCAATTCATGTATTCTACCCACCCCCTTTACTGCTCCCCATTAATTTAATCTTTCCTGGACTACTTAAAAAAGACTTTGCTTTGCTGAGAAGGGCAGGCACTAAAAGCCGTTAGTAGGGCAAGTGGGATATCGTTAAACCATCTGGTTAAAACTATTGTGGATAGACATATGATGTCATGTAAGAAACTAGCGAAGACAATATTGTCAGACTCCGAGCATCCTCTCTATACGCAGCTGTCTCCTTGCATTTCATCTGGTAGAACTAGAAGCAGCTATAGGAAGGAGGCTATATGCTAGGACTACCAAGTACAAAAACTCCACAATACCACAATATCTGGCACAGCTGGCACGATAAACTTACTGCGGCACTCTAACAAATAGTTCCATTTATTTTTTGTTTTTCTTTCTTCGCTACTGTTATACTGTTGTTCACATCTTCTATTACACACTAATTTTATATTTCATATCCTGTGGTGCATTGTTTAAAATGCAAACGCAACGCTGTTCTTTGAATTTTTATTTTTTTATTTATCTTTTATCTTGGGTGTTGCTTTTTGATTTTCAAATCTTATAAAATTTATGAGGTAATTAGATGCAATATATATTGTAATGCACGCTGAAAATTCCATACCTGTACCACAAATACCGTTTGGAATAAAGCTGTTATTATTATTATTATTAAAACAAATGCAGAGAAGATGGTTTGAAGAGGATCTGTTATAATCATTGGTAATAGGATTATTTCACAATGACCGTATTACAGGAAATATACGAACAACACAGAGAGGGATGAATCTAGGAATTTGTCACTTTGGCGGAATTATTTTCCAATTCATATATAAATATGTTACTAAACAACAGTAAGTATTTAAACAATACAGTGATAGAAATCGTCAATCACCACATCCACCACATGTCGAATGTCTCCTTGTGTATTTGTAATGATGTCTCGGTTTGCTTGCAAGTGCCTGCGATCTTCTAACTGATTCTGTGATATTATTTTCATCATTATCATCTGGACTTATTTCTGAATTATCTGCAAAATCAGAACTATTGGTAGAATTATTAAAATGATAATCGGAACGACCTACTTCATTTATTTACACTTGATCCAGGTGTCTGTCATGAATTAAATGATCTTCGATGTCCAATATCTTCACCATCCAATTTCTCATTTTTTGTAGAATGATTCCAGCAGAGAGTCTATAGTTATTCCCTCTATACTAATGTACGAAAGAAGTCACGGAAATCAAATGCGTTCGGAGAATTCGAGATTTGAATAACTTAGCAGGACTTTCACTAGTACTTGCATGCTCTGCATTGCGATATTGAAGTTGGGAAGTTATCTACACATCTCTCTAGCTCATCTAAATTCTTAGAACTCATTGATGCTAAGGCAGTCTTTAATGTTCGTACGAAATTTTCTGCCAACCCGTTAGACTGAGGATGACATGGTGCTGTGTACAGATGACGACAACCTATATGTTTAAGCCGATCATTGAAGTTTTTCTCTGTGAAATGAGTACCATTATCAGTAACTAAGACATCTGGAATTCCTTCTCGACTAAAAATCTTCCTCAACGCTCTGTGAGTGAATATTAGCGTTAGGACTATAACCTCTGGCCATCTAGAATAAGAATCCACAATAATTAAGGCATAGCATGAATTTAAGATTGGACCACAGTAATCTGCATGAATACGCTTCCAAACCTCACTAGACGCAGGCCATGGTTTCCACGATGACTTCCCATAGGACATTTTATGGAAACAGCTAGAACAGCTCTTTGATCCTTTGTTGATGTCAGCATCAATTTCCAGCCACCAGCACATTAGGCGTGCTAATAATTTCATCTTATCAGCTCCTAGATGAGCAGAATGAAGATCATCCAAAATTGCAGATCTTTAAATGTCGGAGGAATAATAATCCTGTCATTCAGGCATGGAAATCCTTCAGGATGGACTGAAATCTAATCTCCGGAAATCTTCGCTTACACTGAACATTCCAACCTCTTATTGTTGCATTTATAATGCATCCGTAATATTTCCGAGTATCGTTTATGGGTCGAACTCTATCTACAGGTTACAGCTGAACTAACAGACAATCAGTGAGTATTTAAACAATATACAGTGATGAAAAATTGTCAATCACCACAGGATCTCAAAGTGTATTGGCTATCATAATACCAGGTGAAAGAAATTCTGTAGGAAACGGAGTGAAAAAGACAGGCAATATCCTGTTGAGTGCCTACATATTCCCCTGAGAACTCAAGGAAATAATAATAGTATTGATAAATGGTATAGATTTATACATTGATGTATGTTTTATAACTGGATAGAGGGTTTTATCATGAGGTGACATCAGTTAGAGAACCCCTGTAAAACCATCAATGAAGTACTGCTAAACAGCTGTTTCGTCAGCCTAGTATGAGACTCTTTAACAGTACGCATCCACCAGAGGGGTTGGAGTTCGAACCCTGGACCTTCTGGTTACAAGGCCAGTGAGTGACCATTTTCGCAATGTCTTCTTCGACGAGTTACTGAATTGGCAGAGTTTAGAATTAATGAAAACAAAACACGTAAATCAGTGAAGAGTCACTTTTCGCCGGCCAATTCATTTTCTTAGCTGTACAACCGCAAATATATATCCATTGTTTTATATGTATGTGTACATAAAGTTTGTCAAACAAAATTACAATTGGTTATGGCTATTTTAACTAAACAGGTGAAGATTGGTAATATACAAGTCAAGAAAATTAGATGTTAATGAAATTAGGTTAGTAACAATGGTAGGTGATGAGTTGTCACAAACAGTTGTTCAAAAGAAGTTATGTAATAATAATAATAATATGAATAGTTTGATGAGTGAGTTCTACTCAAGATGCACATGGACTAACCATTGGATCGTGTCCCAGTGGCTGATGAATGGTCTACCAGCTAGCTCCTAAGTTTTAAAACTCCGCTGTAGTTGGCGCGTACTGCTGAAGAGTCCCAAACTAGGACTAGAGAAACAGCTGTCTGGCAGTACTCTCAAGTGGTGGTTTTCCAATAGTTCCCCTAACTGATGCTCCAGCTCATGATGAAATCCCCCATCCAGCCAATCAACCAAAAAAAAAAAGTTCCTACAAAACCAAAACTTGAAAAGTATGTTTTAATTAACCTTTCCTTGTGCTGACTATTGTGTTTTTCTTTTTTGGTTGCTTTTCAGGTGAGAAATTCGATAATGCCATTCCAGGGAAAACAAGACGTGGATTAGGTGTTTTCGTTGGTATTTTAGATCTATTCCTATTCGGTGGATATCATTATGGTTTCAATTCATTAATTGACACATATAAATCACTGGGATTATTCGCTTACAATTGTACACAATCTGGTTGTATGTATCATGATAATAAATTTGGAATCGCCTTCAATGTCTGGTTGGTAACACAAATGTGTTTAATTACACTGGCTGGATTATTTATGGATAAAGTTGGTTTAAGAGCATTAAAATTAGTAGCAACTGTTATGTATGCTATTGGAACAATAATGTTTGGATTTACAACAGGTACCAGAGAAGTGTTATTCTACGCTGGTGGGATATTAGTCGCGTTAAGCAGTGTCTGTACCCTGATTTGTGATCATCAGATTAGTTCAATGTTTCCACATATACGTGGTTTTTGTATATCATTGTTTTCTGGAGCATTTGATTCAAGTACAGTGATTGCTTATGCTATCTCAGTGAATCATACACGCTTTTCATTACAATGGTCATTTGTCACTTTAGCTATGGGGCATTGATATTTGGCACATTTATAGCTTTATTTATTCTAACAATGAAATCGGTGGATATGTCAAAATTTGCTAGTACCAAGGATAAACAATCAGTTTTACAATCAAGGGTAAGTGTTTGTAGAAAAAATAAATAAATAAAAAGAATTTATATAAACAAGGAATAGATGTAAAAAAAAAAAGAAATTATATTTGTTTAAAATCTCAGCGAGATGAGTAATGAGTAATTCCAACGTTTCCCTAAATTTGGCAATCGTATCCCGAACTTCTTCAGGGAAATTCATAGAAATTAGCTTAACAGAGATTTTGCATAGTTTGGTTTATAAGAGTTAGTTTTGTTTTCATGAGTTAGTCATAGATTGATGTCAGTTAGAGAACCATTGAAAAGCAGCACTGGAGTAGCACTGGACAGCCAGTTGTTTCATTCCATGAGTTTGGGAATTTATCGGCAGTACACATCCTACCACAGCAGGTTCGATGGCAAGCTGCTAGGTCGTATACCATTCAGCCACTGGGACCCACCCTATCCCTCAGTGGCCAGTGCATGAATTCTAACTTCCACCAATTCGTGGTGCATTTAGCGCGACCGGCACTAACCAACGTCGTCGGTGTGACATCCATCCAAACACGCAACTGCATGGACCTCACTGGTCACGACTTCTCCTCACTAGAACTCCAAGAAATTCTATCCTGTAGCAAGTCACTAGAAAGCAGTAGATTAATTTTCTATAGTTTGATTTGATGCTGCGCTAGTGACTTGCTACAGGGTGGAGGTTCCTGGAGTTCTAGTGAGAAGTCGTGACTGGTGAAGTTCATCCAGCCAAGTATGAGGATGGACGTCCCACCGACGACACTGGTTAGGATCGTGCTAAATCACGAATTGTTAGAAGTTAGAATTCATGAGCTGGCCACCGAATCGGGTCCCAGCGGCTGAATGGCATACGAGCTAGCTAGCCTTGTAACTGGAAGTTCCTGGGTTCTAACATCCTGTGGTGGGTGTGTAGTTCCGATGACTCTCAAACTAGGCTGAGGAAACAGCTGTCCAGTACTTCAATGGTGGTTTTTTCAATGGTTCTCTAACTGGGATATCAATCCATGATCAACTCGTAAAATAACAGAGGTTTATACATGCAAAAGGAACATCTCTTGTTCTTAAAAACTTTGTCTAATCGTATGAGTCATGAAACAGGTATCAAAATGTATACTAAACAAAATTGTATGAGCTGTGGTCAAGATTTGACCTCGGACTTACAAATGTTGGTCTATCTTTTGTTAAACACTTTAAGCAGACTGTGTATGTGTGCGCGGGTAAACAGTTGTAAAACATTTCTTAACGTCTCCATAAGGAGATCTAGACGGTCAGGAATTTTGACCAAGTATTATTAATTAGTGATACATATCCCTTTTTGGAATAAGGCATTAAGAAGACAAATTTCGCGAGACAATCGCATCATTTCGTAGTTTCTTTACAACTAACATGGTTAACAATAATAAAATAAAATAAACAGCATGACAATTACTCAGTGAAATAAAAAAACAAAGTACATACTAATGACCAATCATATTTAAATAGGTCATGTAATCCATGGTAGGCGAAGACTGAAGTCTATTTATTTTTGTACACACAGTTTAGGCTGTATGTGATTAATCGCCCAAAGTGCTTCCATCACCTTCAATGACCTTGAATTAGAGTTATGTGGAATAATTGTGAAATAGTCATTAATATTGATTTTGTGACCTGACATTAATAAGTGTTTTGCAATGGATGGTGATGCTGGATTTCTATTCAAATTAATCGCATTGGGATTTTCGATATGATTTATGAGCCATTTTGGAACATGTTCTTTTCGACGACATTGGAACATTCTGTTAGTTCTACCTATATAGGTGTCACCACAGCTGCATGTGAACTTGTAAATGCAGTTTGAAGTAGAGTCCACAGAATTTCGTCCTTTAATCGTAGGAACGGGGATCGAAAATGTTTGACAAGTGAGAAAAAGAGATGTGGCGGCGTAGAATGTGCGTTTGATGGCCGACCGAAGTCTTTGAGCTGTCAACTGTATAATCTGGTCTTCTAAATGTCTTATTCAAATTTTTTAAAGGGACTAATTGTTTTATTATCTATTTAAATTTATTAATCAGGATTCGCTATGTTTTTAAAAATCTTAATATAATATATATTCTTTATTTGGACGACGAGGCTATTCGTGTGGCACTCACATGTCAGCAAAGCAGGCGTATCTGCTACTATGAAGGAACCCATGTCCCTTGTGAGATTCAGGCTGCCTGCAGTCATAGACGTTACCACTGAGCCATTCAGGCTCGAGATTGACCTCCTTTTTGCAGGACTGTAGCGGATATTTCTGATTGGACACTAGTAAGTAGAATGGTGGCCACATTGCAAACCTGAATGATAGAATTCAGTCTGTACCAAAGAAAGGACTAGACATATGCTACTGTTTCACTTCACATACTGATTATTTCATGATGAGAACTTTTCACTGTAGTCTCGCTATATGTCTCCTATTTAATGCATACTATTTTGTACTAGCCACTCATTCACCTGACACCTTTTGTAACCTCAAACTGACTTCAGGTTAGACGACGGATTGATATCGGTTAGAGAACCAGAGACTACTAAAGTGCAGTTTCGTCAGTCTAGTTTGGGACTAACTCTTCAGCGGTACGAACCCACAACAGGGTTTTCGAACCCGGGACCTTCTGTTTACAAGGCCAGTGAGCTTGTAGACCATTCATCAGCCGCTGGAACCCGATCCAATGGTTCTCTCATGAATTCCAACTTTTGACCACTGGTTAATTTCGTCAGTGGTGGGTATTTGTCCTCACACCCGAACCGCTGTTGCCCCCCCCCTCATCAGTCACGACTTCCCACTAGAACACCAGGTAACTACCAACCTCAATAGGGAATGTCGTCGGTGAGCATGAGATAGATATTCAAGTTTTCCTTTGCGGGCATTTGATTGGTCAAGTGTGATGATAAATATTCGTCGCAGATGACGTTGGCTAGTGATTGTGTTATGTCATGAATTAGTAGAAACTGGAATTCATGGACCATTGGATCAAGTCTAATTGGGCTACCAGTTCGCCTCGTAACCGGAAGGTCTGGGGCTTGATCTGTGGTGAGTGCACACTAATGATATATATATATATATATATATATATATATATATGTACACCATCAGAGTGATATCGTCTAAGAGTATTTTACATTTTTCAGAACTAAAATTTCCAGTTTCCATATGTTCACATACATCCCTTTTTTGGCGGAGCAGTGTTTATACACAGTGTATTCGAATCTAATCACACTCAGCAGTTGTATTATCCATCGTACTTAATAGCTACTTCTATACTAGGAATGACATCTTTATGATATGAAGATGGAGCAGTTAAATCTCTTCCCACTATCATGCCAAAGGAGAAGAGGCGACTTAATTTTGGTTTACCATATATATTCAAGGGTGATTTAGGGATTTAGATGACCTTTTAAACCTTTTCTCTCCCTCTAGAATACTTTTACGAAGTCATCACAAGAAGATGCTCAAACGGAGGTCGAATAAAATATGCTTGGAGTTTAGATTCTCTCACAGAGTGGTCAACGACTGAAACTCCTTACCTGATTCAGTATTAACAGCTCCATCGATGAACGCTTTCAAAGAGAAACTGGATCTCTGCAGATATATATATATATATATATATCAACAGCTGTACTACAACGGCACCTACCAAGTGATCCACAACGGAAAACTCAGCGAGGCGTTTGGAGTAAACACAGGAGTCAGACAAGGGTGCTCGCTTATTATCACCAATGAATGATATTCCTAATTGTGGTGGACTGGATTATGCGTCAGACAGTGGGAAGCGAGAAGACAAGAATATCCTGGACCGACGTGAACGACCTAGAAGACCTGGATTTCGCGCGTGGATGATTTATGTTTGATGTCACACACACAAAATCGAAGAATTACAAGCGAAAACCGATAAACTGGTCGAAGAAGCAGCCGGCGAAGACAGAACTGCAGATGAATATAGACAAGACGGAGGTTATGAAAATAACCAACCAACCAGGCAACAACAACAGCAACATCCAGCGCCAATCACCACCAACAGGAGGGATCTGAAAGAGGTTACTTCATTCACTTATCATCTAGAGAGCATTGTCTCAACTACAGGAAGTTGGAACGGACGAGGATGTCAAATCGAGCGAGAATCGGGAAGACGAGAAATACATTTGCTCATCAATCTGAAACCAATCTGGAAATCTTCGTCACTCAGCCAGCATCAACAACAAAATTCGGTTGAATTTTCAATACAAACGTGAAGTCAGTCATTTCTTCTATAAGAATCAGAAACCTGGCGGATCACAAAGAACATTCTGTCGCAGACCTTCATCAACAACTGTCTTTGCTCTATACTGAAGATCAATCAGATGGCCGGGCAGGAAAGAATCACCAACAAGAAACTAGCTAGGGGAACAAACGAAACAAGAACCGACCGCCTAACAAATATGCAGGAGAAGGTGGAGATGAATTGGACACTCTCTGACGAGGCCGCTGGGTGACATCGCGCGCGCGTCAGGCCATCACTCGAGTGGAACCAGGCCGAAGGGGAAGCGGCGAGTTGGTTTTCAGTGCAAGGGTGACATGGAGGAGATCGTGTGAAGAGGAGTTGAAACAGTATGTACTAAAATGAATGCAGGTTAAAAGTACATCAGAAGACAGGAACAAGTGGAAATGTGCAGTTGAAGCCTTATGTTCCACTAAGAACCCAAAGGAACAATGATAATAATAATACTTTTGCCGACAGACTAATCGTCATCTGGATACTCTCTCTCTCTCCCTACATACAGGGAGTAATATAAAATTGAGTTAAATTGCATAACATCATTAAATTGCATCAATTAAGTTAAATAAACAACTTAGTTATGAGTGTGTGAAAGAAATTGAATATATCAAGAACTGAGAATTAACTTGTAATATAAATAATAATGTAATACTAATAATATTAACATTAATAATAATAATAGTCATTAATGATCACGGTGATAAAACGAGTTAAGATAATGGCAATGATAAAGGATAGTTTAAAATAA